TTTTTTTTTGGAATTTATATTATTAGAGAAAAAAATATTTATTAAAATATATTCGCTGTCCACATTTCATAGTCTTTTATACTTATATCATTTTTTCTGTTATAATTTTATGTTAATTTTACTTATGTTAACAATACAATATTGTTTCAGTTAACGTTTCAAACACATTTCATGTTTTCTTTACGTGTATATTTTTAAAGGACTGCCCTAGAACAATAATAAACGTCCATTCTATTCTCGGGATGAGAGACTGGCAGAGTCAAGTAAGTCTCTTGGGATTTTCAGGTAATAGAGTTACGCAGAAATCCACAAGGGGCGATAAATAAGCGGACCAGGGCGACTCTGAGGCCGATGTTGAAAATACGAAGGGACTCGACAGTCAGCGAGCTCGACGAACGCTTGAAAGAGGCGAAGCTGACGAATAAAAAATTCCGGAAGCAATTGTTGCAAAAAGATTCCGAGCTTCAGGTAAGTTTTTCCGTTTCATCAAACTTCTAAACGGCATTATAGGAAGAATTACTTCGCCGGTGTTACAAACTTGCTACGTTACGCAGTGTCCTACGTCGCAGAACCTACCTTTATTTTCTCAGGTTCTGCGACAAATCTGGAATTGGTTTTTAACGTTCAGCAGTAAAATTAAGCTTTATTGAGGAAACTAAATCTTAGATAAGAATTAAAAAAAAATAGAAAATTATATAATATATTTTATATAATTATTTACGTTATTTTATGTTTATTTCTGTCTAACAACTAATTTCGCTAAAACGTTTTTCTTGACGAAATATATGCTGTTTAATAAAACACTCATCCGTGCACTGAATTAATTTAAGGGAGGTTGATAGCGGTCTTCGATTAACGGAAAAGCGAACGACGCACCATCCATCCTTAATTCGGTTATATATAAATAATCACGACGTCATTGCTTCGTGCAGTTCGCCCTCCGAGAATAACAATTTAAAATTATTCCGACGGGTTTCCAGTACACTCGCACGTTTAAGTAATATTGTACTTAATCTAGAAATGTTGCATTCACATCGTGCTCGTGCGTGGCGGCTAGAGGAAGTTATTTCATTATCTTGCATATTACTTCAGGGGTTTTTAAGGAGAATGGGTGAGGAGGTTGAGAGCGAAATGCAAGAGACGGTCGACACGTTGCCGGTCCCAAAGCCAGAAGAGGCCGTTAAAAGGGAAGGTAAATATTCCATTTAATGTCTTTTAAAAGAAATTTTGATATTTGTCGAATAAAATTAAAAATAGTTTTAAAGTAGTGTCATTATATTTTATATTAATTAGAATGTATATTAACTTTACTACATTTTCCTCACGCGGAAGACAACTCTTCAAAAACTTCTTTTTTTTTTTAATATTCCGGTCTACAAATTTTATATAAAACGAGAGTGATGGATAAATTACAAACTCTGCGCCAAGTTGCAATCTATGCAGAACGATGGATAACATTAAATCACCGTATTAATAATTTTGATTTATTTATTTGACAGGACCATCGATAACCACAGAGACGACCGATGTTTCAATGTCCATGTGCAGCTTGAACTCGTCAACCGTTTCGCAGCCGGAGGGTGATTACGTCAACGTGGATCAAGTAGCAAAGTACGTAATCACGTTTGATATTAAACTCCACCTTCAGATCTAAACCCTTTAACGGAACATAGTTAAATTGACCATTGTGTATAGATGAATTGTGTATAGATGAATTATTTGACAAAAGTAATTAATCGATTTGTTTGACGATTGACAATTCAATGGTAATTCCATAAAACGATATATAAAATAGAAACTTGACAAAATTCAGAAAAGTGTTCAGGAACGTATTTTTCAAACAATTTTAGGCCGTTAAAATTACTTGTAATTTATCCATCTTTTTTTAATTTCTTTCCAAAAGTTAGGGGAAAAGATTTAAACGATTATTTTAAATATTTCGGTAATCCGTCTACCCTACTGACCACGACCCAAAAGTCTCCGGCGCACCCGATTCGCCGTCCATTCTCAGGATAGTCGCGTGGTGCTTGTTCTAGGAAAAGGGCATCCCTTTCGAAGGCCACGTCAATCATCATCGACAACGAAAGAGTGGCTGTAACGAGCCAGGCGATCGAGGAGAGTTCCTCTCCGGGCGCTGTGGCGGCGTTGGACGCAATGCCGCCGTCGTTAATAACGACAACGACGACAACGGCGATAACGACAACGACGATGACGCATATGAGGCATACGTGCGGCGCGGACGCGTTGCGGCGCAAGAGCGTCCCCGACGAGGCGGTCAAGGACGGCGAGCCGTTGCTGAAGCGTCACAGGAGCCCGGAGCCGCTGCCAAACGAAGCCATGACCACGCGCTACGGTTTCGTGCCGCCGGTCGTTGAGGAAAGCGACTCCGTGATCTTGGAGGAGACCGAGATCGCGAGACACGTGTGCCGCGTGAGGAGAAGGAGCAAGGACGAGCGCAGAGCGAAGCTGTCGACGCCGCCGCCGACCAAGAACGTCTCCTTCGGCGAGCTCCACGAGCAGAGCTACATCGAGCACGTGATGCCGTTTTCATTGCAATACGTGCCGAATCATCGACACGCCGGTAAGAATCGGCACTTCCGAGTTCTTTTTCGCGGTTGACAATTAGTATGACACACGTATAAGTGAAATTCGTGTTACAGAAAATGATTTTTATATATGTACGTTTAGTCGTTGCCACGCATGTTGTGAACCGCCTTTCAAAAAATATCAATTTTTAAACTCTGTAAAAATACATGTGCAAGTGTTAAAAAGCATCAGGCTTTATAGAGTAGATGGTATTCATAAAATCAAGTTAAAAAAATGTTTGGTAAATATCAGTTGAAAAATACTCACCGAAGTTACAAGTAATTTTCGGTTTTGATAATATAAAGCAAGTGATGTTGCTTACTTTCATTTATGTGATGTAAAAAAAGAAAGAATTATTTTAAGTGTTTCAATTTACGTTCATTGAGCCTTCTTATTTATTGAGTACTATTTATTCTACAAGTCCTGTATGCCGGGCTAACTATTGTTACATGAAACAGCGCGAAGTCAGTCGGCATTAGCATCCGAGATTTGACTTGTTTGCCTAGATTTCTTAGGTATCTTTAGACATTATGCGCGGACGCGAGACGATACGTCAGGTGTTTTGTTGACAGGGAAGTACGACGAGTCGATGTCGACGATAATCCAGCGTTCCATGTCGGAACGCACGCGGGAGAAGTGCCTGCGGCTGCACATCGGTGGCGGCCACCCCATAGTCGAGTGCTCGCACCGCGTCGCGCGCCGCATGTGCCGTCACGCGGGCTCGAAGCTGCGCCATCAGGCACGGTTGGAGTACGTGCAGAGCACCCCGAATGTGGCGACGATGCACAACGGCAAGCACGTCGCGGCGAACGCACGCGATGGAAGCGGCGACGTGAACGGTACCCGTCTCTCGGTTCTCTTGATTACGCGTCCGTACAGCAACGGAAATTTGCGGAATACTAAACGGCCGCGGAGAACGAAACGCGTCCCGAGACGGAAAGAAGAGTATATTTGTTAACAATTAGAAACCCTAATGATTTAGCAAATCTGTAGCCGTACGGACGGTCCGTTTTTCATAATAATTAAGTCTCGAGATTGCATAAAATTATCGATATCTTAATGAGATACCGCAGATTTCTTACTATGCATAAATAGTGTTGCATTTACGCCAAAACTAAGAAATACAAAAAATTGATAGATTTTCCTACGATTAAGATGACGGGAAAAATCTTTAAGACTTCAAATCAGTAATGGAAAATAAGAAAGCCAGAGAGAGAGAGAGAGAGCAATTATGCTTGGATACACATTACATCACCTTATTACCTTGTTTGATATATTGATTTCGTGATTAAACACTAAATTTAACTGTTAAGCGTTCGAATCCATATATCAATATATCATACTCAGCAGCTATCGTATCTCGTGAGGTAAATTGTATTTACTTATGTTGAAGTAGTAACAAACGTTTAATAACGAAGTCGACGTCAGCCATTGCAACAAATTAACAAGGTATATAAAATGTCCGAATAGCAGTATAATTACGCAGCGAAGTTATTGATATCTCCGCCTAATTGAATGCATCGGATAATTGCCTACCCGAGTCTCGGGAAATATTCATATCTTCATTATTCGAGTACGTCAAGGGAACAACGCCGCGATACACGCGAAGCTACGTATACGTGAGGTCTATTCGGACATTGTGTTTAAATGTGTTTCAAACGTTTGCCTTCGAGAGTGAAGGATGTAACGTCAAGCGTGCTAGATTTTGGCGCGGATGCAACGTAGTAGACAGTACGTATAGAGCCACAAATGTCGTTGTTGAGACAGTCCCCGACCTTGGTGTCCTCGCTTGCAGGTGGTTCCTCGGTGAACGTGTCGAAGATGTACAGCGCCGTATCGGACGGTGAACTGCTGGATCTGACGATTCTGCCAATCTTTCAGAAGCTCCTCACCGAGCGGCACAAGAGCACTGCCAGGCGGGGCTATCGCTCGAATATAGCTAGTTGCCCGAATATATCCATCAAGTGCGACATCGTCGAGTACCTCTAACGGCCAAGCCGGCGGCGACCTGACGCTTTCTCCTCACCGCGCCGGCACGCGCACACGCGAAATCACGTTTCTCGTCACGGACTCACCCCACAGGGCGTGCTAGATCGGTTATCTAAGTTAATTAGTTAATCTCGCGTTTGCGAGCGTCTTTTAGATTGTTGCGCCCCGAGCGAGCGAGCGGCCGGCGACGTTATTCGCGATAACGGCATCGTTAAATCGAACGTATTTCAGACGGTTTTTACCACTCCGTTGATTTATTTATAAGAATGATGAAGGACTTGAAATACCGCTACCGCGCCGCGTTAATTAATTATTCGTTCCGTCTCTCGCGTCCTCGCTCTACAGCACTCGATATATCACGGTAAAGCGCGGACGAGGACAAAAAAAGAAGGGTAACATAACGCTCTAGTAATAATGATGCTCGAATCGTATAACTCTCTTATCGAGATACGAGAGAAAGACAACGGTCGACGAATAAAGGTAAGACTTTTTCTATTAACACACGAGAGATATTTTCTAAAGACGACGATTATATTTAAGCGTAGGAACGTAGAAGGCGAAACGAGGGAGAAAATAAAGAGAAAAAAATATTTAAAAAAAAAAAAAAACAGAGAAAGCAAATTCGGAGTTTAACGAAGTCTATCGCGAGCTCGAAGACTCAAAAAGCCACCGAGATCTCAATATCTGCTCGTCTCATCGTCGTTATTCGGTTCTAGACGTAAATGGAGTAAATGTACGGATTTGCGCGCGATATTATCGAGCACACTTAGTTACTTGAACGTCAGTCAATAGATCCTGTATCTCATTAGTGACGCAGCATGTTACGTGACATATAACAAACATTACGGTGAAGCAAACGAGGGAAAAACTTCGTACCTATCCATGATACAGCACACGCACTTTCGAGAGGATGATGTCAGAGAGGAAGGGAGGGACGGAGGTCGTCTATGCAATCGATATAGCGTATCGCTTTCGGGGGGAGAGGGAAAAGAGGGTGGGGGGTAGACCCTAGCAGCGAACAAATATTGTTTAAATATTTCCTAGTGCGACCGAAGAATATTTTTGTGACGCGACTTTGAAACATATATTGAACTAGTTCTAGTTAACGCGGTTAATTAATTAACGGATATATACCTTCGAGATATTTACAAGACAAATTACAGGAAAACCAAAAAAAGAAAGATATTTGTTAGCCGCGGCAGATCGGAAACTAGATTTAACTGTTGACTGTTGTAATGATTTTCAACTTGTAAAGCATTTTTCGTTTGTGACGACGAGAATCCTGGAGAATGAGGATTTATAAGCATCTCCGTCGGCTAACAAGTGTTTTTTAGAGAGCAAGAGAAAGAGAGAGAGAAAGTATGTATGTGTGTATATATAATCTATAAGGATTGTTGAAGCAAAGATATCGAGAGCATGTTAATTAGGAGTGTTTCCGTTCTCTCCTTCGAGCGCCCGTTTTCACGAGGCTCGCCAAATCTCAGGCCGGAAGGCGGTAGGAGCGGTATTTTACAAATATTAAAAGTAAGTTTTCCCTCGCGTACATTTCTAAAATAAATAACTATGTGTTTGTAAATATATGTTACGAAGTAATGTATATTCATTGAATATTTCCTACACACAGAGAACACACACACACACACACACACACACACACACACACACACACACACACACACACACACGTCTAACTTGGCGCGTATAGCCAATCCTAGGGGATAATTATGTGAACGTTCACCAAGTATATTTCGTTCTCCGCTAGGGTGCTGTGTTCAAAAATACCTCGAGGAGTATGGCGGAGCATGTTAATAAAATGCCTTCGGGTATATCCCTAGAACTGATAATTATCGAATCGAATCGAATCGAATCAATGCATGCATTGTCAATTGCCCCATACCCTTTCGTTTTCTACGAGGAGTAATAAAAGAAACACGATTCATTATACGCGAATCGCACGACTAGGAAGATTCGATTCCTCGTGAGGAAATCGAATTGAACGTCTTTCCTGCTCTAAAACGGGGTGACTGTATCCGAATGCGGGTTGCGGGGGGAAAAATGTGCGGTTGAAAGGTAAAGCGGATACAACGCTCCTTTATGCGAGTGAAATTGAGTTTTCGTTATTTCAACTTGCGAGTGAACTCATTAAAAGTAGAGCTCGCTGAGTATTTCCGTGAGAGATTCCTAAGTTTCCTAAGTTGCGAGGGTTTCAGACTGCGCGGCCTAAGTCGACGTAACTTGCGACGTGTATTCACGACCGAAGTTAACGGAGAGTCCAAGAAGAAAAAGGATAAGATCGCTTTTCTTTTCCTTTTTTTCTTTCTTTTTAGCGTAGTTAGTCGTTCTCGTGTATAACAGTACCCCGTTTTACGGCACGAAGGCGGAAGTTCGTCGTGCAACTCGCGTTTAAATATAGAGACACAACGATTTCAAATTTCATCAAGGGCGACATCGCGACTCTCAATAACGGTCTCGCGTCGTTTCGAAACATTTAACCGGAGAAAAACGACGCGCTAAACAACGCGGTACAATATTCCGATTAGTTAAGGATAAATTTATTTCCGGTCGATACCGGTCGGTACGCGTGACTAAACACTCGACGCGTTTGTATTCGTATTCCTACTGTTAGAGCATGATCTTAATATCCCGTAATAATTACGTAAGTCAGTGGTGTCGCCGGTAGGCAAGCCATGCCAAAAGTTTTTTACAAATTGTGAGAACAAAAAAAAAATAGAAAACCCGACAGCAATATATCTATTAATGCGACTAATGTATGCGTGCGTGCAGCGAAGCCAAAGGTGATTAAGTGAGTGTGATAAGAGTGACGAAGCGTTCTGTCTTCGAGATACATATACGTCACTGTGACACATGGATGTATCTTTGCGAAAAATGGGCGAATTAAAAGTGATCGATTGGAATTCGTTCTGTAAAATTCGATTGCCAGACTTTGAAACTGGAATATGTTAGCGCTGAAACTTCGTAGTTTCTTTTAGTTTCGACCTCTTCTCGCAAAGAAAAAAAGTTTCTTTCTTCCGAGTCTCTCGATCGAATAATGTGATTCGAGCAGTTAAATTTTTAATTAGGACCGAAACGACAGTTAACACATGCGATTGAGCACACGATTTCGGAAATTCTGTTGCCGCCGATTTCTTTTAATTGAAGGACTTCTTGTAGGAATACCTTTTAAGATTTTCTTATCAGCAAACATTACTTGCGAGATGTAAGAGGGGGGAGGGGGTGATACAATTAACATTTGTCGACATTGTTATCAACTTTTATATATATTATTACTATTTACATCTCTCTAACTGTACCTATATATATATATTTGCAAAAGACAATGCATGTATCGTCAATTATCACGCGTTCAAAATATCCATCGTACCTCCATTTCGAAAAAACTCTGCAAAAAATAAGTAAATTCAAAGGGATTGTGGAGAGAGAAAGAGCTCATTCCCGTGTGAATGAAGTTAAGAACACAGTGTCGCAGGTTGATCGCGTTCCCGTCCTTTTAGCTCGCCTATTTTTTGCAGTAGAGGAGTAAAATAGTTTACGAGTGCACTTACGAGACGATCGAGGCT